TTGAGTGTCTATATTTTTTACTTTCCTCAAAAAAAATCATGAAAATAGCCTATTTTTTGGCCTTACTAATGAGAATGTACCCTTAATCGGCCGTGAATCTGATAACTAATTACGTTTGCTGTTTAGTAGAACTAATGATATGTATCATTTGTATAAAAGATTCGATATCAACAATTGGCGCCAAGTTAAATTCAATGTAATTCGAACAAATTAAATTTTACCATTTTATTCCTCCCAAAGAAAAAATAATTTATTTAACTCTAATGATATGTATCATATTCGTATAATTGATATCAACAAAATTGGCGCCAAGTTAAATTCATCAAAATTTTATCAAACAAATTTTATGTATTATTCCTATAAAAGATTTGATATCAAGAACTGGCGCCAAGTTAATCCTACTTCTTTGTATCATGCCAAATTAAATAAATAATAAATATTAATCTAATGGTATGTATTATTTGTACGAACGATTTGATATTAACAACTGTGGCGCCAAGTTAATTTCTACTATCAGAATGAAAAGTAAAACTTATATAAGTGATACTATCTTTATTCATTATTTACTTAATCCAAATGGTACTATCTTTAATTTTTATACAATGAAACCTAAATATACGTATACTTATTGAAGAATCTTCCTATTCCAATCCAAATGGTTTGAATTCCTCTTAAATGAAATTATTATATTACAATTCATTCAAAGACATTTCCTCTTCCACACAACTAAAGTAGTGATTATTTAATTCTCCTTCAAAACATTATACAAAACGTTATCACAAAATTGCGTTACCTTGCTCAATTTAAGTGTTATCACAAAAATTAAAGAATTAACCGTATAAAATGAAAAAATTTAATTTTTTACTTAATCCAAATGGTACTATCTTTAATTTTTATACAATGATACCAAAGTATACGTGTACTCTTATTGAAGAATCTTCCTATTCAAATCCAAATGGTTTAAATTTCTCTTAAATGAAATCATTATATCGCAATTCATTCAAAGACATTTCCTCTTCCAAAAGTAGTGGTTATTTAATTCTTTTTCAAAATATTATACAAAACATCACAAACTTGCGTTACCTTGCTCAATTTAAGAGTTACCACAAAAATTAAAGAATTAACCGTATAAAATGAAAAAATTCAATTTAAATAGAAAAATTTTTAATGTAAAAACACTTGGCGCTGCTAGATAGAGTAAGAAAAACTATAAGAACAATTTAAAATTCGAATGGTAATTACTAAAAGTAAATAATAAGAGATAATTGTATATAATTTAAAAGTAACAATAATCATTTAATTGTAACATAATTTAAAAATAATAATAAAAGTAATAATAAATTCTCTTTCATAATGCATGTCTTATACAAGTCTAAATTTATTTTTCTTCGATCTAAACTTAATAGCATTCACAACGATCATAATTTACACGACTCTATAACTCAATCATATATACATATGCTAGATATATTAACTCTCATTGGAGCTGGTTTTTATTTTTCTTATTTCTCGAAATATTCATTTTTTAATTTTTTAATATGATTATGACATTTCTTATTTATGCTTCTTATTTATATTATTTTTCTAAGTATTATATTCTTATCCTTCTTATTTAAATTCATGCTTTACTACTATCCTACCATGTTATTTATTATATCCAGATCTAGCAGCGCCAAGTCTTTTTACATGAAAAATTTTTCTATTTAAATTAAATTTTTTCATTTTATACGGTTAATTCTTTAATTTTTATGGTAACATTTAAATTGAGCAGGGTAACGCACATTGTGATGTTTTGTATAATATTTTGAAGGAGAATTAAATAACCACTACTTTAGTTGGAAGAGGAAATGTCTTTGAATGAATTGTGATATAATAATTGCATTTAAGAGGAATTTAATCCATTTGGATTGGAATAGGAAGATTCTTCAATAAGTATACGTATACTTAGATTTCATTGTATAAAAATTCATGTTACTGTAAAATTACCAACGTATAATTTTTTCGTTTTCATCATCTAATCTCCTTTTGTTAAATACTGAATTATAAACAAATGGAGATCGTTATCGAATAAATTGTTTGTCATTATCATTTCCTAGCCTAGTTAATAAATATACCAGTGTATAATTCCATTTCCGTTCGATTTTCTTTTATTAAATATTAATTATAAATTTTTTCATTATTGTTTCCTAACTTAGTTAACAAATTCGTTGCAGTTAAACAGAGATGTAAACCATACCT